AAAGTGCTGGGATTACAGGTGTGAGCCATCATGCCCAGCCCCAATTTATTTTCTTTTTTTTGAGTTGGAGTCTTACTCTGTTGTCCGGGCTGGAGTGCAGTGGCACGCTCACAGCCACCGCAGCCTCGACCTGTGAATCCAGGCAATCCTTCTGCCTCAGTCTTCCAAGTAGCTGGAACTACAGGCATGCGCCACCACACCCAGCTAATTTTTTGATTTATTATAGAGATGAGGTCTCACCAAGTTACCTGGGCTGGTCTTGAACCCATCAGCTCTGGCAGTGCTCTCACCTCGGGGCTCCCAAAGTGCAGGGATTATAGGTGTGAGCCACTGGCCCAGTCTCAATTTATTTTCAATTAGAGGAATTATGCTACTAAGAACCCAGTCTCCAGTTAGAGATGGGATTGCCTGATGTTGTATCATGTGATACAGCATAAACCCTGAAACCAGGCCAACGACAAATAAGGATGTTGTTATGTTTTTACATTACTTTGGAATAATATCTGAGATTGATTGATGGGACCCCTTCATTTGATTCTTACTTATGTTTTCATGTTCTTTGTTAAGAGAAATCACTGTCAGTATGTGGTGGGGAATGGCAGTGAGTCCACTGCAGCTTCACTTAGCATTTTTATTTTTAGTACATTGTCTAAATCTGGTGGCATGGGCCATTCTCTTGGAAAGGGACTTTTATGGTATCTAGTGGGGATCCTGAGAGGAGGGGTCTGTTGGAAGTGGTGTAGGAGGAAGTGTAAATAAGAGCGCCAGCTGTCCTACAGGGGCCTTTCCCTATGCCCTTGCTGCACTGGAACCCCAAGGAAATGCCTGGGCTGTCTGAAGTGATAACAATACTATTAGGCACTGTTTGGGAGGAAAAAAAATTGATTCCACTCTTCGTTCCAAACTACCCTATTGCTAATATATTGCTTTCCAATTTACCTTAGTTCACATATATTACTTTCCAGTTTATTTCCAAATAGTCTCTCCATTTTACACAGTTACAGTCAGAGAATACATGCATAGGGTTGTTATTTGTGGGTCTCACTGCATTCCTGAAACCGTCAGACTCTTTGGAGAACAGAGCTTTTACTGCTTTGCACTGATTCTCGGGCACAGTAGAACCTAAGATAACATTTCTTGAGAAAACCTAGTCGTGCTTCACCCTCACATACCCCACAGCCCTCTCACCACCCCAGTGAGGAGGAAGCTCTAGAGGACAACAAGTTGTCCCTTGTGAACCCACAGATCCTAATGGCTACCGTTTTCTTGAAGAGAAACATGTATTTAGGGGTAGATAAGGCCAGTTCATGATTGTATGGCCCTAAGTGTGTATCAAGCAAAGATAAGGAGTCACTCAGGATGCAGAATCTGTACTTTTCCTTTTCTAGAACACATTATTCAATGTTGCCATTTAAAATATATATGTATTTGAGTTCTTACATCAAATGTTGCCAGTTTTGTAGTGACTGTACAGTCTATCGCTGATGCATAATGTATACTCATTTCCTTTTGATTGCTAGAACTTTGCTTGTACTTGCCAAATGAACTGGAAATGTACTGTAGGGGTCTTCAGCCCCCATTTAAGTTGTATGGTACTGATTTGTTTTGCTTCTTTGCTGATTGTTTGGACAATGGCAATCTTATCTTTTCAAAGAGGAGAAGGCCAATTTGGAGAATAAGTTTCTTGGAAAGAATGGAACAGGAAGGCTTTTTCAGGGAGAAACTCCTTTGAGAAAGACTGATCTTCAGCAAGCTGTCATCACACCTTTGAGACCAGGTAAGAAAACGTCTGGGAAAATTACCTAAATGCTATGTCTCTTTCTTTGTTATTGGCAAAATGGACTAATTCATCTCATGATGAATGTAAAACTAATGGTGTGCTACACTTAACAAAAAAGATCTCTTAGTATTTAGGAGACTGAGGCAGGAAGGTTGCTAGAGCCTGAGAGGTCAAGGCTGCAGTGAGCTATGGTCATGCCACTGTACTCTAGTCTGGGCAGCAGACCAAGACCCCATCTATTAAAAACAAACAAAAACCTCTTGAAACATAGAGTTGTATTGATGGATACATAACTGTTTTCTTTTTGTGACACGTGTTAATGTAACCTAACCTGGTTCTGGACCGGAAATAAAACAGTAGGAAAGAGTGTACTGGTATTATTGTTCAAGAATTCTTTGAGTCATTTATCTGTATGTATCTATGTGTGTGTGTATGTATGTATGTATTTATTTTGAGTTGTAGTCTCACTCCGTTTCCCAGGCCGGAGTGCAGTGGTATGCTCATGGCCACCCCAGTGACAACCTGCTGGCCTCCAGTGATCCTTCTACTTCAGCCTTCCAAGTAGTTGGAACTACAGGCATGTGCTACCACATCCGGCTAATTTTTTTATTATAGAGACAGGGTCTCACCATGTTACCCAGGCTGTTCTATAGCCTGGGGCCTCAGGCAGTCCTCTCGCTTCAGCCTCCCAAAGTGCTGGAATTACAGGCTTGAGCCACTGTGCCCAGCCTTTTGTTAGTTTTGAGTTGGAGTCTCACTCTGTTGCCCAGGCTGAAATTCTGTAGCATGCTCACGGCCACCCAACCTTGACCTACTGGGTTCAGGTGATCCTTCTGCCTCAGCCTTCCAAGTAGCTGGAACTACAGACATGGGCTGCCACTTCCGGCTAATTTTTTTATATATTGTGGAGTTGAGGTCTCTCCAAGTTGCCCAGGCTGGTCTGAAATCCCTGATCTGAGGCAATCCTTTGAGGTCTCTCCAAGTTGCCCAGGCTGGTCTGAAATCCCTGATCTGAGGCAATCCTTTCACCTCGGCCTCCCAAAGTGCTGGGATTATAGGCGTGAGCCACTACACCTGGCCTCATTTATCTGTCTTTAATAGATGATTGACACTTACTTCAGGTAGTTTTTCAATTTGCAGATATTGTCTATTTGATTAGAATATGAGGAGCAGTCTTTAAGAAGTCATAAATCCCTTTCAAATGATTCATTTTTAAAAGACTCTGTTTAGATACAATGCACATATTGTTTATTGCACTTGCCTAAAATATACATTGCATTGTTTTTTAGTACATTCAGAGTTGTGGAACCATCACCATAATTAGCTTAGAACATTTGAGAATTATTCTATGGGTAAATCTGAAACTAGTCTCTATTGCACCATTAGCTAGAAATAGTTGTATTTTCCTATCAGAGAAATAGCTGTATTTTCAGTGAACTGGCTTAGTTTGCAGAGTCTGAGCTGCTAGGCTGATTTTCAAATAATTAATTCATGAGTACAGGTGATATCTATTGAATTTGGGATCTGGACAAGGATTCTGAACTTTAGCATCCATCTTTCTTGCACAAGGGTTTAGAACTGTGTGGCACTATTTACCTAACATACTTGGAATGTGGTGGCCTAAGTCCTGTATCTTCAGGTGAATCTCATTAAGTTAAGCCAGTGTGGTAGATTTTATGTTGCTGTGATGTTCTCTGTGGATTGGGGGATGCAGTGTTACCTAGTTTGGACAACCACATTCCTTTTAAGACTGTTTCTGTACCCAGTGGTTTCTTTTTTTGTTTTTGAGGTGGAGTCTCATTCTGTTGCCCAGGCTGGAGTGCAGTGGCATGCTCACAGCCACCGCAACCTCGAACTGCTGGGCTCAGGGGATCCTTCTGCCTCAGCCTTCCAACCTGCTAGAACTACGGGCATACTCCACCAAGCCCTGCTAGTTTATTTATTTATTTATCATAGAGACAATGTCTCGCCAAGTTGCCCAGGGTGGTCTTGAACCTGGACTCAGGCAATCCTCTCGCCTCAGCCTCTCTTTTTTATTTTGAGTTGGGGTCTCACTTTGTTGCTCAGACTGGAGAACAGTGGCACACTCACAGCCACTGCATCCTCGACCTGCTGGGCTCAGATGATCCTTCCTCTTCAGCCTTTCAAGTAGCTGATACTATAGTTATGTGCCTAGTTGATTTACTGTAGAGATGAGGTCTTGCCAAGTTGCCTAGGTTGGTCTTGAACCCATGGGCTCAGGCAGTCTTCCCACCTCGGCCTCCCAAAGTGCTGGGATTTAGAGGTGTGAGCCACCAGGCCTGACCTATATCCAGTGGTTTCTATCATCAAATAAAACAGCAAGCCCCCAGAGTAAGATTTCAGCTGGACCTAGCATGTGGCAAAGGCTATGCACACTACTCACACACATGCCCTGTGGGTCCTTCAGTCTTTGTATTCTTTCCAATTACACATTCTCACCTCTGCATTAATGCTGATCCCTCTTATCTGACTGAGAAATACCTGCTCATCATTCAAGGTGCAGCTCAAATATCCTTTCTTCTTAACTGATTTCCCTTATCTCTGTTCCCAAGGCACTTTTCATTCCTCTGTTTTAATTTTAGTTTCTCATTGAGTTTCTAGTATTCTGAAGTACAATTAATTTGCTTTTATTATGTTTGACATATGATGAAGCATTTATGGGGTACAGTGTTATTCTGATACATGTATACAGTGTAATGAGCAAATCAGAGTAATTAGTATATCCATCACCTCAAACATTTATCATTTCTTTTCTCTGGGGTTATTCAAAATCTACTCTTCTAGAGATTTGAAGATATACGATAAATTGTTAATTATAGTTACCTCCAGGCCGGTTGCAGTGGCTCACATCTATAATTCCATTTTTGGGAGACTGAGGTGAGAGGATTGCCTGAACCCACGAGTTGGAGACAAGCCTGAGCAGTTTGATGAGACCTCATCTCTACAATAAATCAAAAAGTTAGCCAGGCTAGGTGGTGCATGCCTGTAGTTCCAGCTGCTTGGAAGGCTGAGGAAGAAAGATTGTCTGAGCCTAGCAGATGAAGGCTGTGGTGGCTGTGGGTATGTCACTGTACTCCAGCATGGGTGATAGAGTGAGACTCCAACTAAAAAAACCAAAACAAACAACAACAACAACAAAACAACCCAGTTATAGTTACCTGGTAGTGCTACAGAGCATTAGAACTTATTTCTCCAGTCTGGCAGCATGTAGTTGTGTATCCTTTTTTATTCAATGTAATGATCATTTTAATTGGAGTAAATGGCTTCTATTTTAGCCTCAACATCATATGCTACCATTTTTTGTTTTTGTGCCTTTCTCTACTCCCCAGAAATATTTCTTTTTTTCTTTTTTAGTTGGAGTCTCACTCTGTTTACCTCAGCTGGAGTGCCATGGCACACTCACGGCCACCCCAGCGTTGACCTGCTGGGCTCCGGCGAGTCTCCTGCCAAGGCTGGCTAATTTTTTTTTTTAATTGATTGTAGAGACGAGGTCTCACCAAATTGCCTGGGCTGGTCTTGAACCCGTGGGCCCAGGCAATCCACTTGCCTTGGCCTCCCAAAGCACTGGGATTACAGGCTGAGCCACTGAGCCTGGCCTTCCAAAATTATTTCTTTAGGAAATGAACCAATTGATTGTTATATGCATTGAATAGTGCACATTATATGTTTTTGTTGCCTGTCTTTCCTTCCTTGTCATCTTGTTGCAGTTTACTTTATTTGGGCTCAGTTTATATGTTGTATCATCAAATGCTATTCATTCATAAAGCCTTATTGTTTTTCTCTCAGTAATCTTATAGCATTATTTTTCTGTCTCATTATAAATGTTTATCAAAATAGTGTATGGAGTTTGTGATAAAATACCTCCTTCCCCTTCCCACATGTACACCCTTTCTCAAATGTTACATCTTTTCTTTTTGATATGGGGTCTTGCTCTGTTTTCTAACCAGGAGTACAGTGGTGTAGTCTGTAACCATAACTCACTGCAGCCTTGAACTCCTAACCTCAAGTGATTCTCAAGCCTCAGTTTCCTAAGTAGCAGGGACTACTCACATGTGCCAGTACACCTGGCCAAATTTTTTTTGAGTTTTTGTAGAGATAGGCTGGTCTTGAATTCTGGTCTCAGGATATCTTCCCTCTTCCTGCCTCAGCCTCCCAAAGTGCTGGGATTATAGACATGAGCCACCACACCTGGCCTCAAATGATGTCTTTATAATTTTACAGTTAGGAGTCTTACTATTGCCCAGGCTACTCTTGAAGTGAGCTGAAGCAGTTCTGCTTCAGCCTCCTGAGAAGCTGTTTTAACTCTTACTGTTTTAGATTGTTGTTGTTACATAGGTATATTGGAAAAAATAAATAAAAGTAAAAACTAAATTGGGCTGTGGTTATATCTATAATTCCTGACAATGTGATTATATCAGCAATACTTTACAATATTATGATTACATAAATATTATTTGCTGCCCAGTCAGTTGATACTACTGCATTTGATCATGAGTCTCCTTTGTTGTCTTCAGCTGCATTGTCATAACTCTTGGACCACATAAAGATGATTCTGACATCAACACAAAGTTGATTCTTTTTCTTTCTTTTTTTTTGGAGTCAGAGTGTCACTTTGTAGCCTAGGCTGGAGTGCAGTGGCACACTGTTCATGGTCACCGCACCCTCAACCTGCTGGGCTCAGGGGATCCTTCTGTCTCAGCCTTCCTAGTAGCTGGAACTACAGGCACATGCCACCATGCCTGACTAATTTTTTATTTATTGTAGAGATGAGGTCTCACCAAGTTGTCCAGGCTGGGCTGAAACCCGTGGACTCAGGCAATCCTCTCACCTCGGCCTTCCAAACTGCTAGGATTATTGTAGACGTGAGCCATCTCGCCCAGCCTCTTTTTCTTTAAATTCTATGAGTTATTACATTTTTGCCATGCTTTAACATGTTTTTAGTGGACCGTGATCCTTGGAAGTTATAACTACTTTTTTGGAGATTTTTTTTTTTTTTTTTTTTTTTTACTGCTCCTTGTTTTCTGGATCTTATATTGTTGTTCTTGATATACTTTTTCATTATGCAGGAGCATATGTTTAAGAAACTTTCTTTTTTTTTGAGTCAGAGGTCTCGAACTCCTGGGCTCAAGCAATCTACCCATCTCGGCCTCCCAAAGTGCTGGAATTACAGGCATGAGCCACTGTGCCTGGTTGAAGTCTTCTGGATAAGATTTAACTGGAAAGGATTCTATTACTTAGGAGGGACAGACATACATACAAACATACAACTAAAGAAATAAATTTTTTTTTTTTTTAATTGGAATTTCACTCTGTCGCCCAGGAGGGATGCAGTGGCATGCTCATGGCCACCGCAGCTTCGACCTGTTGGGTTCAGGTGATCGTTTCGCCTCAGTCTTCTAAGAAGCTGAAACTATAGGCACAGGCCACCACGCCCACCTAATTTTTTGATTTATTATAAAGATGAGATCTCACCAAGTTGCCCAGGCTAATCTCGAACCCCTGGGCTCAGGCAGTCCTCTTCCCTTGGCCTCCCAAAGTGCTGGGATTCTGGGCTTAAGCCACTGCGCCCAACCACCAAATACAAGTTTTTAATCTAGAATTCTTTATCAAGGTGTGTGTGTGTGTGTCATCTCCAACTATTTTTGTTGGGATTTAAGTGTTGACTGGTTTTTGGTCTCTTGCAGTGGACAACATTTACTACAGAAAGACAGAAAAAGAGAATCTTAAGGAGCAATCCATTTTGTCAAAAGATTGTACTTCCCTGGAAGTTGAGGGAACCATAGCAAGGAAAACTCCAGTCCAGCCTCTGAGGTAAGATTGTTTTGGAACAATGGTTATAAGAATCGTTACTGGAGGGAGTTCCTGCTTTGTGTCCATACTGCATTAGACCGTTACCTTTGTAAATCTTCATAGTGTCTATGAATTGTACATAATAAGCCTAATTTATAGTTAAGGGCTCAGAGATACCATGTTGCTTGTCCGATGCAAGTTGATTTCAGAACCAGGTTTCAAACTCTGAGTCGGTCTGGTTCTAAAGGCCTCATATGGATGAAATCTTCCTAATGTCAAATGCGTCTCTTAGTCTTTGTTATTACTTAAGCTTTCTTGTGGTTATATTTGCATAGTACCTTTGTCTGTCCTTTTACTTTCAACCTATTTTTGCCTTTGATTTAAAACTGCATCTTTTGTAGACAGCACTATTTGGGTCTTGCTTATTTATCCATTCTGGCAATCTTTGTTTTTTGCTTGGAATGTTTACAGTTTGTGTTTGCTATACTTACTGATTTGGTTATATTTGATTCACCATTATGCTCTTTGTTTTACATTTATTTCATCTTTTGATGTTATTGTTTCTGTTTTTTCCTTTCCTGTATTTGTATCCTTTAAGTATTTTGTAGTATTTTAATTAATCTGTTGACTTTTAAGCCATATTTCTTTGCTTTTTTCCATTTATTATTTATTTATTAAGTCTGTCTTCCAGGCTGGAGTGCAGTGGCATGCTCAAGACCACCGCAGCCTTGACCTGCTGGTCTCAGGTGATAATTCCACCTCAGCCTTCCAAGTTCTGGAACTACAGGCATGCACCACCAAGACCAGCTAACTTTTTAATTTATCGTAGAGATGAGGTCTCACCAAGTTGCCCAGGCTGGTCTTGAACCGTAGGTTTAGGCACTCCCCTCACTTTGGCCTCTAAAGTGCTGGGATTATAGGTATGAACCACTGCCCGGGCCCTGCCTGCTTTTTTTCTTTTAAATGATTATTCTAGTGATTATAATATGTATATTTTAATTTATCACAATTTATTTAAAGTTAATATTGAATCAACTGCTATGGATAAAATATAGGAATCTTGCAACATTAGACCAAATAAGTAGTTGGGCACATTCCTACAATGAATATTATGTAGTTATAAAAGTCAGTGAATTTGGCTGGGTGCAATGGGTCACGCCTGTAATCCTATTATTTTTGAAGGTGTAGGTGGGAGGATTATTTTGAGACCAGGAGCTTGAGACTAGTCTGGGCAAGTTAGCAAGATCCTGTCTCTACAAAAATTAAAAATAAACATAAAAAAAATTAGCCAGACATTTTTGCGTGTACCTATAGTCTCAGCTATTCTGGAGGCTGAGGTGAGAGGACTGCTTCAGTCCAGGAGTTCAAGGTTGCAGTAAGCTATGATCATGCCATTGCATTCCAGCCTGGGTTACGGAACTAGACCGTTTCTTAAAAAAAATCAATGAATTAGAGCTATGTGAATTGATATGATTGAATCTCACAAACATAATGTTGAGTGAAATAAACCAGAGAGAAAAGAATACTTGCCAATAGTCTGATTACATTATTCATGTTTTTTGTTCTTCAAAACTAATATACCTTGCTAATGCAATGCATGCTTATTTGATAAAACAATAAAGAAAAGGTAATGATTACTGTGAACATCAAGATAACAATGGTTGTCAGTGATCTGTTTCTTGGCCTAGGTGGGGATTTCATGAGTTTTCACCTTGTAATCATTTAACTGTTTGTTTTTATTTTGTTTACTTTTTGGTATGTGTTATATTTTACAAAAAAAATAGGAAGCAGCTCCCAAAAAGGAAAATATAAACACCTTATTTAATTTCTAGGAATTGTGAGCTCTAATTGCAAGCTATTAACTAGTTACTGACAAGGTGACTAACAGAGTCCAGTTACCTCATCTTTTTTTTACTGTTATTTCTAAAAGGGGAAGAGATTGTATTAGGTGGTTTTTTACCATTAAAAAAAATTTTAAATCTGCTTTACTGGGGTCTCATTTACAAACACCAATGTAATTAATGCCATTTATGGTTGACTTTCAAAATCTATGAGCAAGAAAAATGAGTTTCGAGCTTTACAGTGGAGATAACACTGACTTCTAAATGCCCTTTGTAGTTTGACGTCTTTTTGCATTTCTGAGGAATATTTGCATTTCTGTAGTAGATGTGTTCATTATACTAGATACATTTCGTCAATTCTTTTACTATAGAAGATCTATTAGACTCTCTGCTCAGAAGAATTTGGAACAAAAAAAAAAACATTACGTAAACATGAAAGCCAAGAGGTGTGCCATTCCTGTAGTCAGCAGTGAATCTCCGCCTTCTAAGAAGATGAAAGTGTAAGTAGCCCCAGCTTCCTACTGTCTTGTATACCATCTGTAAGGACATGTCTTTTCTGAATTTACATTGTAGAGTGAATAGAGCACAATTGCAAAATGGTACATCTGAATTCTGCTTGGAGTATCTGGAGCTTGGAAAACCCCTAAAATGGTGACCATGGTGAGGTGGATTGTTACAGGGTTTCTAGAGGGTGCTCAAATCTTAGTTGGTCTAGGTTTTAACCCTGTTTGCTTCTGTGGTTAATAACAAGCTGAATACATGGTGCTTGTTCTTATCGTGATCAGTTAGGAATGTATTTTTCTGTAAGTAATAGTCTTTTCAACTAGAGTGGTTTAATGACTAATGACTTATTTGTTTCACAGAAGTCTAAATGAGTTTGCTGCTGGTTTTGGTTCAGTGGTTGAACAATGCCAGGACTACCATCTCTGATTCTTAGCTTTTTTTTTTTTTTTTTTTTCCGTTCTTGATGCTCAACATGGCTGCTCTGTTCCTTCAACTTTTATTTCTTTGAGTTTTTAAATTGTGGTTTTTTAGTCGGAGTCTCACTCTGTTGCCAGGCAAGAGTGCAGTGGCATGATGACAGCTACCACAGCCTCAGCCTCTTAGATTCAGGCAATCCATACATCTCAGACTCCTGAGTAGCTGGGGTTATAGGTATACACCACCACACCCGGCTAATTTTTTGGCTTTTTGTAGAGATGAGGTCTTACTATGTTGCCCGGGCTGGTCTCATTGAACTCCTGGGTTCAAGCAGTCTTCCTGCCTAGGCCTCCCGATGTGCGGATTACAGATATGAGCCACCACACCTGGCCTTTTAAAAAAAATTTTGATGGTAATTTTTTCACAAGGTAAAAACATCATTTATATAATGCTTTTAGATTCTTCTGAATCACTGAGCCCCTTTATCCTCTCTTTTCTCATCTCCTTTATGATTTGCCCTTTAGGCAGAAGGTTCTAAAGAGTACTGAGGAGCAGGAGCTGGAGAAGAGAATGAAAATGCAGCGGGAGGTGATGGAGATGCGCAAGAAGAATGAAGAATTCAAGAAACTTGCTCTTGCAGGAGCAGGTGAGTCTGGCTGTGGTTGAGTTTGATTTATGAGAGTTGCTTCTTGTAATCTTTGTAGGGTTTTCTATGTTATTTGTTTTTGAGGTCTCTACAGCACATGAAAAAAGCCTTTATCTTTAGTCAGCATAAAAAGATGTGTTTATAGCCAGGCTTGGTGGCTCAGCCTGTAATCCCGTGCCTTTGGGAGGCTGAGGTGAGTGGATTGCCTGAGCCTGCGGGTTCAGACCCGCCTGGGCAGGCGAGACCTCATCTCTACAATAAAATCAAAAAATTAGCTGGGCGTGGTAGTGCGCACCTGTAATTCCGGCTACTCGGAAGGCTGAGGTTGAAGGATTGCTGGAGCCCAGCAGGTCGAGGCTGCGGGGCCGGGAGCGGCCACTGCACTCCAGTCTGGGTAACAGAGTGAGACTCCAACTCAAAAAAAATAAAATAAAATAAAGGTGTTATTATAGCCAGGCTCGATGACTCAGCCTGTAATCCCAGCGCTTTGGGAGGCTGAGGTAAGTGGATTGCCTGAGCCCGCGGGTTCGAGACCTGCGTGGGCAACGAGACCTCATCTCTACAATAAATCAAAAAATCAGCCGGGCGTGGTAGCGCATGCCTGTAATTCTGGCTACTTGGAAGGCTGAGGCAGAAGGAACGCCAGAGCCCAGCAGGTCGAGGCTGTGATAGTTGGGAGCGGCCACTGCACTCCAGTCTGGGTGACAGAGTGGGACTCCAACTCAAAAAAACCAAAAACAACAAAAGATGTGTTTATTCCCTAGGAATGTTTTAGGCATATCGACCCTTTCTTAGAGCATGCTGTTCCTTTCGTTTGTCTCAGAAAAAGAAGGAACTAGAATTGGGCAGGCCATTTTGTTGCTGCTGTTGTTTTCCCATTTTATCTGAAAAGCAGAAGAAAAGAAAGCATAGTTACATCCAGTTGCATTTATGGAGGAAATGTATGACCGACGGAGCTAAAGAGTCTACAGCTTGGCTCTGCTCTGGGATTGAGTTGTTCCTGGTGGAGTCACAGCTTTCAAGCTCCCCTCACTGGGTTGAAAAAGCAGCCCTGGAATATGTCGGGTTTTCCTCTCAGAGATGCTGCATTACCTGTGCTTTTAGAGTCCGTGTATAGCTTTTCCTCTCAAAAGTATTCCCGTTCCTCTTTTTTCTCCAGAGCTATGACCACACCTGGGAGATGGGCTTCTTCTTCCCCGTGCTATCTTTTTATAGTTTGCGTCTGACCGACAGGCCTCAAAATACAGTACTCAGTGAATAGTGTCCCTGAGGCCTGTTTAAAGCTTTTGATTGCATGCAGATAATGAACAAAGTTAGATAATAATAGTAATACGAAGGGACTGGGTTAAAAGGGAATTTGCCGATGTTCCCTATTCTTAATGTTACCTGTGTGTTTTACTTTGCTCCTCACTCAGGGAAACCTGTGAAGAAACCAGTGAGCCAGGTCACCAAATCAGTTGACTTCCACTTTTGTACAGATGAGCGAATCAAATCACATCCTAAGAACCAAGAGGAGTATAAAGAAGTAAACTTTACATCTGAACTGCGAAAGCATACTTCATCTCCTGTAAGTTGAGGGACTAAATGAATATGCCTGTTACTAATTCAGCTAGTTTTCAGGTGTGGCATTTGTGGTCACTATTTAGAATAGTATAGTTGACAGAATCATGTGTTTTGAATTAAGATAGTTCTAAATCTCATGTTGCCCCTGTTCATTGTGTGATCTTTGACAAATCTTTCTACCTCTCTGGAAACCATCTTACCAAGTAGCTGTAAAAGCTGAATTGAGAAAGTACATAAAACACAGAAATATATGTGGCAAGTTGTAGATACAGGTATTTCTGCTGTTACAAAATTCTTGAGAAAACTTGTGTCTCTAAGTTGTGTACAAAATATAGCAGGGCTTATGGGAAAAATGTAGTTATGGGAGACAACTAAAATCCTGTGCATTTTGTTGCAAGAGCACCAACAAAAACAGTAACAATCCTAAGTTAAAATTCTAGTACTGATAATTTCTACTTGCATTTGTAGTCAGCATCATCACTGTTTGAAATCAGTCCATGACAGTCATAAATCCTGAAGTTGTGCTACTTCCTTTGAGATATGGGTCCTTAACGAGTTTTGTTTCCAATGAGAGACCATTTTTATCAAAATTAATGATCCAAGCAGTAGACATTTTCATCAGTCAGTTAGGAGGATGTATGGAAAGATTCTGCTGATTCAGGCAACCTGATAAAGACCCAGAAACCCAGTCAATTTTTTTTTTTTTTTTTTAGTGGAGTTGAGGGTGGGATGCCTTTGCAGCTTTTTCCCCCTTTGGAGTCTAAGATAACTTGCTCTGGATTCCTTCAAAATGTTGACTTGCTTGGGGAAAAGATCACACCTATGTACTGTTGCAGAACAGATCATTTGTTAAGTGCTGGATCCTTTCTTCCTTCTTCTTTTTTTGAGTTGGGGTCTTATTCTGTCACCCAGTCTGAAATGCAGTGACACGTTCATGGCTCACTGAAGCCTGAACCTCCTGGACTCAGGTGATTTTCCAACCTCAGCCTCCCAAGTAGCTGGGACTACAGGCACACACCACCACACCAGCTATTTTTTTTTTAATTATTTATTTATTTATTTATTTTTATTTAGAGATGAGGTCTCTATGTTGCCCAGGCCAGTCTCAAATTCCTGGGTTCAAGCGATCCTCCCACCTCTGCTGGAATTACAGGTGTGAGCCACCAGTGCTGGCCAAAAGATTTTTGTTTTTTTTGTTTTTTTTCTAGAGACAAAGTCTTCAGATGTTGCCCAGGCTGATCTCTAACTCCTGGACTCAAGCAATGCTCCCATCCTCCTACCTCGGCCTCTCAGAGTGCTGGGATTACAGGTGTAAGCCACTGTACCCAGATCCTTTTTTAAAATAAAAACATGGTAATAGTTATAACCTTTGCTAAAAGATTGACAAGCTTCAGAATAATAATGGCTCTACACAGGCTCTTTTTCTTTTGATCCTCTGTGCTGAATGTGTGTCTTGTGCTAGAACTGAGCTCTTCTATAACATTTCATTTGGGGAACAACTTTTCTCTTTACAGGCCCGAGTCACTAAGGGATGTACTATTATTAAACCTTTTAACCTATCCCAAGGAAAGAAAAGAACATTTGATGAAACAGCTTCTACATATGTGCCCCTTGCACAACAGGTCGAAGCCTTTTATAAACGAACCCCTAACAGGTATCATTTGAGGAGCAAGAAGGATGATAATAGTAAGTTTCCTGCCAATATCATTGTTGGACGAAATCTCCCCTAGAATTCCCTTTGTTTACATCTTAGGCACGGATTTGCCTTAGTGTAAATCCTAGCTTTTTCACTAAAGTATGACTTGTGACTATATGCAGAAAACAAATATATCCTTCAGAATTTCTCAAACCATCCAGCTGTGTGTCCACTCATACCCATCAACCATCTTCATTCTTCTGGTCAATAACTGGCCAAGGGGAATGAATCAAGGTAAAGGATGTCTTTCCCATGTGTCAAAATATTACAGAATATTTGCATACCTATAGAAAGTGAGGGCATTTCATTTATTGGAGGTTATGTGCTTTTTGTTCAGAGATTCAGCAAGTTTTTACTACTACTAATCAGGCACTGTGTTAGGTGTGGGGGTATAGAGGCGAACAAAATGATCTTGGTGCATCTCAACTTCAAGTTTCTAATTCAATGATAGAGATTAAACCTATCATTACAAATTATGATAAGGGCAATGGATGTGGAGGGAGATGTAAGTGTCAAAGGAGGTGGGAGATGGAGCATGTCTGAATGCTGAGAAGTCCCTGTCAGAGATAACAGAAGCTGAAGATACAGGAGAGAGAGGAGATAACCAATAGATCGAGTCCTGGAGCAGGCAGGCATGGGAGGGGTAGGTAGCACAAGTAGAGTGGTCATTCTAGGAGAGGATGGAAAAATGAGAAGAGTGGGTGCCAGTACTGGTGGGTGTGTAGATCTGCGAAGGAACAAGTGAGGGACTTAGCTAATCTAATAGTTTCCATTTTATGAAGATAATTTCTACAAGAGAGTAGATAAAATCTGAGGAGAGGAGGTGGTATAAGATTGTTAAAGAGTATAGGGCTAGTATTCTGGATAAAGTAGAATCTGGTTGTTTTGTCTTTCTTTTTGAGTCCGAGTCTCACTCTGTTGCCCAGACTGGAATGCAGTGGCATGCTCATGGCCACCGCAACCTCGACCTGCTGGGCTCGGGCAATCCTTCTGCTTCAACCTTCAAAGTAGCTGGAACGACAGTCATGTGCCACCACACCCGGCTTATTTTGTTTTATTATTTTATATTATTATATTTTATTATATTTCATTTATTGTAGAGGTGAGGTCTCGCCAAGTTCCCTAAGGCTGGTCTCCAACCCCTGGGCTCAGGCAGTCATCTCGCCGCTGCCTCCCCAAGTGCTGCAATGACAGGTGTGAGCCACTCTGCCCGAGAAGCTGTTTTGTCTTTGAGGGTTTCTGAGTTTTTTTGTCTTTGCATAGGCATTGTTTTTTATGGTGGTAAGTAGCCAGAGTATAGCATTTCGGTATAGCATTTTTTTTACCTGATTGTTACTGTGCATTTTTTTCCTTACCTGATTCTTTTTTTCCCCCCATTTGGTATAGCATTTGTTAATATTTTTATTATATTCTAGTAGCCAAAATGATTTTGTTATGAAAGTAATTAAATGTTTCTCTTTATTCTAATGTAAATTTAAATATTAAACAGGACTTTTCAAATAATATATGATTCTTAGAGTCTGATATGCCCTGCTTTTAGAATCCTAGTCCTGGTAAATGGAAAGAAAAATTATTGTATGCAATTTTTATTTAGAACTTTGAACAGTTACAGCTAAATAATTATATGTATATTTGAAGCATGGCTTATTTCTCAAATAGATTTAGTTTTGATGTCTAACTGTTTTGTGGTAAGATCTAAGTTGAAGAACTCATTCTATATAGTTATGAAAATTGACAAAGTTTCCTCTAGCCAGGTAAATCTGTATTTTGTTTCTTTCTTTCTTTTTAATTTCAGGTTTAAGTATACAAATGTTCATTATGCAGGTACCCTTCTTGATGAGGTGTGCTCCCCTCCCCGACCCCCGGCATTATCCCACTACTGCCAATCTTGCCCCCTTCCCCTGGCAATTTCCCACTACTGACAATCCTTTTCTTTATAGTGTTACGATAATTGTTCAAGGGCCACTTATGAGTGAGAACATGTTGTTGTCAGTTCTTTGTTTCTGTGCTAGATCACTCACTCAGTATTATAGACTCTAAGTCCATCCAAGTTGCTGTGAAGTTCATAATTTTGTCCTTCTTTATGATTGTGTAATATTCCATTGTGTATATGTCCCACATTTTTTTGTCTAGTCCTCTTTTGATGGGCAGCACGGTTGGCTCCATGTTTTTGCTATTGTGAACAATGCTGCAATAAACATGTGTGTGCAGGTATCTTTTTCATAGAGTGATTTGAGTTCCTCCGGGTGTATTCCCAGTAGGGGGATTGCGGGGTCATATGGAAGGTCGAGTTTTAGACCTTCTAGGAATCACCAAACTGTTTTCTACAGAGATTGTACTGGTTTACACTCCCACCAACAGTGTAGAAGTGTTCCCTTTTTCCTGCATGCTCTCCAGCATGTGTTTTTTGAGTTATCGATGATGGCCGTCCTGACTGGAGTTAGGTGGTATCTCAGTGTGGTTTCAACTTGCATTTCTTTGATGACTAGTGAGGCTGAGCATTTTATCATGTATCTGTTGGCTGCTCATGTGTCTTCTTTTGAGAAGTGTCTATTCATATCTTTTGCCCACTTTGTAGTGAGGCTGTCTGTTTTTTTCTTTTCAGCACGTTTGCATTCCTTGTAGATCCTAGATGTTAGACCTTTGTCAGGTATACAGTTGGAAAACATTTTTTCCGAGTCCATGGGCTGCCTCCCCGCTCTCTTGTTGGTTTCTTTGGCATTGCAGAAGCTTGTCATTTTGATGAGGTCCCACTTGTCTATCTTATCTCTTATGGCATGGGCACTTGGGTTTTTAATCAGGAATTGGTTACCAGTTCCAATTTCCTAAGGGTGTCTCCTGCCTTTTCCAAAGTTCTTATAGTTTCAGGTTTTATGTTTAGGTCTTTGATCTATTTAAAGTTGACTTTTTTGTATGATGTTTTCTGTGTGTGGTCAGCCAGTTTTCCCAGGGCCATTTACTGAATAGGTTCTCCTCTCCCTAGTGGTTGGTGGTGGAGGCTTTGTCTAAGATGAATTGGTTGAGAAATTGAGATTTTGCTTCTGAAGTCTATGTCTATTGGTTTATATGCTTGTTTTTGTTCCAATACCAGGCTGTCTTGATTATTGTAGCTTTATAATAAAATTTGAAGTCTGAGAGTGTGATACCTCTTACTTTGCTTTTTTTTTTTGGCTGAGGATTGTTTTGGCTATTTGTGGTCGTATATGTTGTCATATGAATGCCTGCACTGTCGTTTCAAGGTCTGAAAAGAATGCTGCTAGTAATTTAATGGGCATTGCATTAAATCTGTAGATAGCCTTGGGTGGAATGGACATCTTAACATGAATTCTTCCAATCCATGAGCATAAAATATATGGAACGCTTCACAAATTTCTGTGTCATCCTTGAGCAGGAACCATGCTAGTCTTCTCTGTAGCATTCCAATTTTAGTATATGTGCTGCTGAAGCGAGCACAAATCGGTATTTTCAATGAGTGGGGATGATGGTCTTAATAGTGGTGCTATGATACAGTTTTTTACTTTCTCCAGTTGACTTTCTATAAGAGGTAGTCGTGATGCTTTGATATAGATTTCATAAAATTGGGTATTTTTACTTGGTCTTTAGAAAGCCCTTATATCCTAAAGCTGGAATAAGCAAAAATCTTATTTGTCAATAACAAGCAAGACTGTTGACATTGTCATTAGAAAGTACAGCCCCGTGCAGTGGTAAGGAACATGCCAGACATTTTTAAGTTTGGAGGATGATAATAGAGTTTACCCAAAGGCTATACCCCTTGATAAATAGTGCTGTGGAAGGAGGGACTGAGGGTTTGTTAGGCTGACTGACATGAACTGAGTGGAGTGCAGTGGGCCTGCCACCCAGTAGCTTACTTATCCATCTCTGGGATGTCCCTTTGAATGCACACTTTTGCATAAACTGGATCTTGGGGAAGTTAGGTGAATATCTGTCATCTCGGTTTACAGGCCTGTTGCCTTCCAAGTCTTCTGCGACCAAGATTTCCAGAGATCCAAGGACTCCTGTCCTGCAAACCAAACAGCGTGCGCGGCCTGTGACCTGCAAAAGTGCAGCGGAGCAGGAGGCTGAGGAGCTTGAGAAACTGCAGCAGTGAGTCCCACTGGCAGCATCTGGGGAGGAGTTCCAACTCTCTTCCTACTTTCTTTTCAGTTCTATAAGGGCGTCAATTGCTATTTTTCTCTCCATGAATATATATGGTATTTGAGTTGTTGGTTCTTGCGGGCTCTGCCCCTGCTTCTATGATTAAAGGACTAAAATGGGAAATAGAGATGTCCTTGGGTGCAAACTGGTAACAGTCTACTAGAGAGACTGGAGTGAGAGAAGTTAATTAGGACTCCATTTAAGGAATGTCCTCTGAGGTTACGTTAGGTAGATCCCAAGGGGTTGCTACCGCTATTATCAGTGGAGGGGAAAAGGAACTTAGTGTGTTTCTTAACGTTGGAGTTTACTTCCTGTATTCTTCCATTCCATTTAGTACTATTGAGGAGGGAAGGCTTCCTCTGTGAAGAGAAATTCAGCCTTTAGTGGTGGGAATGTTAGGACTGTCTCATGTACTCTTTGTTCTAGAGGTAAAGCTAATAATAATAATGGATATGGAGTGGGTTGGAATTTTCCTGTTTTCTGGGTAATCTTAGTGACTACTATTTCTTATTTGGGGCTCACTTGATTGTTTATGAAGTTTTCATTTTATTTTAATTTTTTTGTGGTTGTCATGTAAACTTCCACTTTACAGATACAAATTCAAAGCACGAGAACTTGATCCTAGAATTCTGGAAGGTGGGCCCATCTTGCCCAAGAAACCACCTGTGAAGCCACCCACTCAGCCCATCGGTTTTGATTTGGAAACTGAGAAAAGGATCCAAGAGCGAGAGTCAAAGAAGAAATTGGAAGAGGAGCACTTTGAATTTCATTCCAGACCTTGCCCTACTAAGATCCTGGAAGATGTTGTGGTAAGCATAGTTGAGGCTCTGCGTGCTGGTAGAAGTGTCCTGCTCATGACGAAGTATCTGCCCATTCACACACATGTTTGAGTAGATAAGGGTACTCTATTAGGAGTTGGAGGTGATAAAGAGACAAAAGTGAGTTTTTTCCTCAGGAAACTTAAAGTCCAGTATGAGAGACAACATGTATGAATAATATAACATGGACAAGAAATTTGAGAAAGATGACAGCTAAAAGTACCATAGAGTAGAGAATGACTTCTTTCAAATAGAAGGTTCAGAGAATGCTTTGTGGGGAGGCAGCATTTGACCTGAGCCTTGACAATGTGTAGGTGGTTGTCATTGTGTTGTTGTTGTAATAGCTGACACTTTTATTATGTGCTAGGTACTGCTCTAAGCCCCTTTCATATATTAGCCCATTATTTTTGACAATATCCTCTTTAGGTAGGTCTTTTTAATTATCCTGGTTCAAATAAAATAATTAGGGCCTAGAGTGGCTATGTACCATTCCCGTGTACTGGCACCCTGCTTGTTTGTGGTGGAGCAAGGATAAGGCTATATGCACTCTCGCTCCAGAGTCTGTATTCTGAATGCTTCATTATGTAGAATGTGAACTTGCAGACTTGTAAATGAAGTGGACTGGAAGAGCTATCTACGCATGGGAATAACATGGAAAAAGCCTGGAAACATAGAGTCTGGAAACAAAGAGCCTGGAAACATGGAACATCTACTGGGAACTGTTAGTAGGTCAATTAAGTTGGAGAAAAGTTTATCGAGAGCAACCAGAACCAGATTAAAGATGTGGGTTGCAATTTGATGATAGGCTTGCTATCACAATTTTAGAGAAAATAGAAATCAGAAGCCATGTCAGTCAAAGAAGTAATGGAATCAGGTACCTGCATAAATGGAAAGGTGGGTTTTTAGATAGATTTCTGGGCAGATGAGGGCACCCTTCTATCCCAGCCACCTATTTGGATTGTTTTGATTGATTGATGTCCATGTTACGTTAGAAGAACTTCTTTTCTTGTCTTCTTTCTTTTTGCTTGTTTTAGCATCATCATAGTTTTAGATGAAACTGTGCGCCAATATATTACCTTCACCTGGAGACTTACTTTTGTTTATTCTATATTCTTCCTTTTTATTTTTTTTTTTGAGACAGGATCTCACTGTCGCCCAGGCTAAAGTGCAGAGGCATGATCATAGCTCATGAACTCCTGGGTTCAGGGGATCCTCTTGTCCAGCCTCCTAAGTAGCTGGTACTACTGGTGCATGCCACCCTGCCCAGCTAACATTTTTTTGGAGTTGGAGTCTCACTCTGTAGCCCAGGCTGGAGTGCAGTGGCACGCTCATGGCCACTGTAGCCTCAACCTGCTGGGCTCAGGCAATCCTTCCATCTCAGTCATGCAAGTAGCTGGAGTAGATGGTGTGCGCCATCACACCCAGCTAATTTTTTGATTTATTGTGGAGATGAGGTTTCGCCAAATTGCCCAGGCTGGTCTCGAACCTAGGACTTAGGCAATCCTCTCGCCTCCCCCTCCCAAAGTGCTGAGATTAGACGTGAGCCACTGTGCCCGGCCCAGCTAATTTTTTGTCACGTTGTCCAGGTTGGTCTCAAATTCCTCCTGTCTTGGCCTTCCAAAGTGCTGGGATTACAGGCATGAGCCTCCCTGCCTGACTAATCCTTTTTCTCAGTAATACATTTAAAGTTATATTTTCCAGTCTTTATAAAAGCTCCTGATTATGCTTAGAAATGGTTCTCCTCCCCCATAGTCTCTTCCATTTGAGAGCGTTTTGCATGAGACTTCTATTCACAATGACTTTTCCTTTTTTGTCTAGAAAGCCCATATACTCTATGTCAATCTCTGTTGCAGTACACTTTTAAGAAATCTTTCCCAACCCAAGTGATGAGTCTCTAAGAGCTATGCCTTCTTTGTCTTTACCCATTGATGGAATGTCCTGAATGTGATGGGAGAAATATAGGTCATATGCAAACTTCAGAATCCTAGCGCCAACTGGGTCCAACACTTAGTTTTACACACAAGACGACTGAATGCCAGAAAAGACAACAGATTTCCTCAAGTCTTCTTCAACATTTTTTGTGGCACCTGGCTTTTAATATCTTTTTCTTTTTTTTGAGTTGGAGTCTCACTATGTCGTTCAGGCTGGAGTGCAGTGGCATGCTCACGGCCACTTCAGCATCGACCTGCTGAGCTCTGGCGATCCTTCCACCCAAGCCTTCCAAGTAGCTGGAACTACAGGTGTGCACTACCATGCCCGGCTAATATTTTGTTTGTTGTAGAGACAAGGTCTCGACAAGTTGCCCAGGCCGATCTCAAACCTGTGGGCTCAGACAATCCACTCACCGTGGTCTCCCAAAGTGCTGGAAATACAGGCTGAGCCACCAAGCCCAGCCTAATGTTTTTTTCTTCAAGCTCCTGGCTTTTCCCCCTCCTACAAGTTTTTGTTTTTACTTAATTCGTGTACCACCCTCTTGATTTATACTGTATTCTTGTACCTTACATATCAGTATTGACATTGCATATTTTAATTTATTTTACTTTTATTTTTTAAAGTAGGATTTATTAAGAAGACAGAAAAGCTCCCAAGTGGGAGGGGGC